ATGAAAATATTAAATACTAAAACAATTCACACAACTTTCTGAATGTAACCTATAGGAATTTGTAGGGTGTTAACTATAGAAAAATATTATATGTGTATAGATGTATAAGGAAGATTACCCTTCTCATCTAGGCATGTCTCCATTCTATTTCCAATAATAAAAGATATAGAGTAACTTCTTAAAATGATGAGCGCCTAATTAACGACAAAATTTATTATATGAATGAGCTACGGAGAAGAAACTTTGAGTGAGATTTTGTCCTCTCAAAAGCATCTATGCATTGTTTATCCCATTCAAAGCATAAGACCTTCTCAAGGAAATTTGTTTCCTCGAGAGATAAATTTCCTTGATAAATTTCCTTATATACCAACTGAGAGATAAATTTCCTTTATATACCAACTGAGAGATAAATTTCCTTCAAGGAAATCACCCTTGTAAGCCAAGGACCCCACTAAACTTCCTCAAAAGTAGGAGTGACAATGGGCCACAAATGTGGTCCTAAGGCTAGGTCGAGCCAAGACAGGGCCAACCTAGTTCAGTGGCCCTTTTGTTTGTTATATTTTTTATTTTCCTGTTTTTGTAACATTTGGTCAAGCGCATCGCCAAGGCCAAGCTTGGGCCAGGGCCTCTTTAACCCTATCGGGGCGGGGCTAGGCTAGGCCTCAACCGGCCCTATGGGGATCAGGGCTGGCCTAGTCGAAGCCTGCCCCGTTGCCAGCCCTATAGTCACAACACATAAACTTCACCAAATGCCATCAGCACAGTTTTCATAGCCTTATGCATCTATAGTCATCATGGGTATTGTATGTCATCTAAAAACCCTTGAGTAGAAGGGCATCAAAGATTAAATCAAGGTATTCCAATATCTAATGAATGTCTTTTCCAGGACTTCCTTTGCTAGCATTAGATTAATAAAAACTAAAAGATCATCATTAATGAGAGCCTAATCTGTTCAATTATGGTGTCTACCAGAATATCTATGTAAGGTACAAGATGATGATCATCAGGAATGTGGGATTAAAACCTTTGTATGTCTATACATACCCTAACATTGCCATCCTTCTCATTTATGAGAACGTTTCAAATCCGACGATCTGTGAGTAATGGAAGCTCCCCACATTAGTCCAACCACCTTGACCTCACCCTTTAATTTTTTCAATTCACCCTAATCCATCTTATAAGAACTTGTTGGCGTACCAAAGGTAGAGCATAACTGACTTGTCATCATACAACTTATAAAAGAGATCCTAGCAACATTTTTAAGGAAATGATTTGAATTCCTTGAATGATAAAACCCTATGCTTTTCTTCGTACAAGCATGAATTATCGTAGCATCAATAACAATAAAAAGTCATGTATTATATCACTTCAAGAGTTTTGTCATGGTTTGATCCTCCCTGAATTATGGTTGGAAACTATGGGATACTCATGCTCCACTGTTGGGCTCCAAACTAGCTCCGACCAAGGAGTTACTCGAGATTAGAAACTTCCATAATGGAGGACTGTTATTTTCCCAACGTATCTTTTTATTGACAATCTTGGTTATGACCACCTTATGGTCAATATGGAGAGAAAGAAATAGACAAATTTTCCAAGGTACCTCCTCCTCCATCCATAGCTTCCACAACCACATAAAATCAAAAACTATGTTTTGGGCTAACAATAGCAAAGACCTTCAATATTCCAATCTTCATCTTCCTTAACAGCTGGAAAGATATTCTTTTTTCCAATCCACGAAGACAGGTCACAATCCCCTCGTGGAATTCCCATACCCTGAGTCATTCAAGCTTAACACGGATGGCTGCTAATGGGCAATCCATGATCGACAGGTATAGGGGGGTATACTACGGGATCAACATGGAGAAACTCTACTCTCCTTCTCAATATCCATCGGCGACACTGACTCTACTATAGCAGAGTCCAGAGCTCTACTTGAAGGCCTAAAGAGGGTTGCAAAGGGTCTCATCTAGCTCCTTCCATTCTACACAAATCAAGGTAGAAGGGGACAGTAGTAATGTCATAGTGTGGGCTCCCAAGAAAGCCAAGTGCCCTTGGCAACTTGAGTCCAATTTTTTACTACATATTATTTCTATGAAGGGAGATGATCGTCATCCTCCGCCACATTCATAAGCAGCATATCAGGCTGCCGATGACTTGGCCAAAGCAGGGCTGCAAGGACACCCATGGGATTGAATCAAACCACCTAGCGCCCCCCCTCGCCCCCCCCCCCCCCCCCGCTTCCCCCTTTCTTTACCTTTACATCTTATCATCTGTTAAGTTTTGTCATTTTCCAAACCCTGGATGGTTATTACTATAGGCCAAGTGGGCTCCTAAGCCCTTTGAGTACGAGCTCCCAACTTGTGAGCAGCCTTTTTAATAGGAGCTCCTAACATGTGGGCAGAAGCCTTATATTCATTTACTTTCACATAAAAAAACCTCTACATAATACAATCAAATATTGATGCAAACTGGACTTTCATTTTCTATTTTATTTTTTTAGAAGTTTGAAATTTATGTTTAGTTATTCTGGGTTTCTACTATTCTTATAAGGTTATTTTGTCTTTTTTAGTTGTAGAGATTCTTATAGGGACTTATGACCTCACTGAGAGTATGGCCTTTAATGGAGTAGAATAGTGGACCAGGATTCGTGTAGCTGACCCCAATTAATTGGGAAAAGGCTATAATGATGACGATGATGAGTTGTAGAGATTTGAGGGGTAGAATTGGAAGTTTATTTTAATTTTTAAAGACAAAGCATTGCATTAGGATGGTTGAGTTAATTAGGATATGTTAGATTGTACGAATCAGTGAAATGATAGAATTCGTCAAAATTATTCAACATGCTCTAGAAGGAATTCCAGAGGGGCCCTAATAAAATTTAGAAGACCAACACTTTGATGGAGTAAGAAATATAGAATGGAATGATTTTGAATATCGATTTATAAGTAAAAAACCTTCTCCCATTTTTGAAAGGCAGTATTTTAATATACCTACTAAGGCAGTTAGAGGGCAGTATGAACATCCTAATAAAGAAAGGCAGTATTTGAATATACCTACTAAGGCAGTTAGGGCAGTACTAATTGAAAATCC